GTGCACTATTAGGGTCACAAGTGACATGGTCCTTAGGCAAATAGATAAATTAAAACCTAACAAATCCCCAGGCCCTGATGAACTGTATGCAAGGGTTCTAAAGGAATGTAAAGAGGAGCTTAGCACACCTTTGGCTAATCTTTTCAACATATCACTACAAACTGGCATGGTGCCAGATAAGTGGAAAATGGCAAATATGATACCTATTTTCAAAACAGGTGACAGGTCCTTAGCTTCGAACTATAGACCAATAAGCCTAACCTCCATAGTGGGAAAATTTATGGAATCAATAATTGCCGAGGCAGTTCGTAGCCATCTTGAAAAGCATAAATTAATCAACAAATCTCAGCGTGGTTTTACAAAGGGGCTTTCCTGCCTTACGAATTTATTAACTTTTTTCACTAAGGTATTGAGGAGGTAGATCATGGTAATGAATATGATATTGTGTATATGGACTTCAGTAAGGCTTTTGACAGGGTCCCACATCAGAGACTATTGAGGAAAATTAAAGCACATGGAATAGGAGGAGAATTTTTTTCCTGGATAGAGGCATGGTTGACAAATAGGCAGCAGAGAGTTTGCATAAATGGGGAGAAATCAGAGTGGGGAAGCGTCACGAGCGGTGTTCCACAGGGGTCAGTGTTGGGCCCCCTGCTGTTCACAATCTACATAAACGACATAGATGAGGGCATAAAGAGCGACATCGGCAAGTTTGCCGATGACACCAAAATAGGCCGTCGAATTCATTCTGACGAGGACATTCGAGCACTCCAGGAAGATTTGAATAGACTGATGCAGTGGTCGGAGAAGTGGCAGATGCAGTTTAATATAGACAAATGCAAAGTTCTAAATGTTGGACAGGACAATAACCATGCCACATATAAACTAAATAATGTAGATCTTAATATTACGGATTGCGAAAAAGATTTAGGAGTTCTGGTTAGCAGTAATCTGAAACCAAGACAACAGTGCATAAGTGTTCGCAATAAAGCTAATAGAATCCTTGGCTTCATATCAAGAAGCATAAATAATAGGAGTCCTCAGGTTGTTCTTCAACTCTATACATCCTTGGTTAGGCCTCATTTAGATTATGCTGCACAGTTTTGGTCACCGTATTACAGAATGGATATAAATTCTCTGGAAAATGTACAAAGGAGGATGACAAAGATGATCCCATGTATCAGAAACCTTCCCTATGAGGATAGACTAAGGGCCCTGAAACTGCACTCTCTAGAAAGACGTAGAATTAGGGGGGATATGATTGAGGTGTATAAATGGAAGACAGGGATAAATAAAGGGGATGTAAAATAGTGTGCTGAAAATATCTAGCCTAGACAGGACTCGCAGCAATGGTTTTAAGTTGGAAAAATTCAGATTCAGGAAGGATATAGGAAAGTACTGGTTTGGTAATAGAGTTGTGGATGAGTGGAACAAACTCCCAAGTACCGTTATAGAGGCCAGAACGTTGTGTAGCTTTAAAAATAGGTTGGATAAATACATGAGTAGATGTGGGTGGGTGTGAGTTAGACCTGATAGCTTGTGCTAACAGGTCGGTTGCCGTGTTCCTCCCTTAAGTCAATGTGACCTGACCTGACTAGGTTGGGTGCATTGGCTTAAGCCGGTAGGAGACTTGGACCTGCCTCGCATGGGCCAGTAGGCCTTCTGCAGTGTTCCTTCGTTCTTATGTTCTTATGTTCTTATGAGCGTGTTCTCTCCCATGAGCGTGTTCCTGCCCTCTCTGACCCCGTCGTGATCATTCTTGGAGGTCTTCATTTCATTTGAGTGTTTAATTTCAATCTGTTTCCCCTCATTTTTTCCTTTACCTTATGTCCCCTCGTTCTGGCCCTTACCTCGTGTCCCCTCACCCTTTTAAACAGTGTATTGTCGCTATATCGAGCACTCCACTGACGCTCATATGCTCTCTTCTGTCCTCCAGTCGTACGTCCACTTTGTATTCCAGTGTTAGCATGCTCCTCTGGGACCACCTCATACCTAGCCACTGATGTCTAATATTTCCTGAGTGACTACTAGATCTGGTGTAGCTGGTTCGTCTTCACTTTCTTACGCTCCTCTTTTTCTGTGTGTTGGCTGTGAAAATTGTGTTATAATGTCGCTTAATTTTGATGTTGCTTCCTCTTTGCCCTCGAGGCATCTTGCTTGCCAGTCTTTTTGAGGAGTGATGTCGGGCAATATTAACAGCTTTGTACCTGTCCTATCGAAGTCTTTGCTTCCTCCGCTATTCTTAAAATACTTTGTCGTCATATTCCTCTTCAACAGATCCTCCTGCCCTGCAGATACTCTTCCCATTCCCAACTCTCTTCCCTTAAGCCTCTCTTCCTTCCTCTCTCTCCCCTCGTACTCTTACCCTCCTCTTCTTTTCACTGGACCCCGTGCTTGCCCATTCATCTTCTTAAGAAGTATTATTATCCACAAGGGTATTTTTCTTTCTGGAAGAGCAGGGGATTATACAATAACACCTGGTATTATTAAAGAGAAAAAATACGTAGAGATTTTTCACGTGGCTCTGCATAATAGAATAGCTTTAATCTGGTTATATTCTCTTCGAATGTTCCTCCCCCAAAGCTGATATTACGTTTTTTTCCCAGTTAGAATATCCCGTCGGCCTTTTGGAGGCTGTGGTGGATGGTGCCTCGTGGAGGGAGAAATCCAGCCTCTCACCCCTTCGACTGCCATCACCAAAACTGTTTTCACTACTATCCCGACGTTCTACACATTCACCACCTCAATCACTGCCTCTGTTTCCACCCCGCCCAACCTGTCGCAATAAATAACTTCACAAGAAGGAACAGATCCTATAAAGATGAGAGGAAAATGGCGATAGATGGAGAAGTAAGATATTTCAGTAAATTGAGAGGAAGAATGTACATCAGTGAGGCGCTACACGGAGGGGAATTATTATTATTATTATAATCAAGGGGGAAGCGCTAAACCCGGAGGATTATACAGCGCCTGGGGGGGGGGATGTGGAAGGCATTCAGGCTTAATTCGGGGAACTGGAGCACAGATCCAATTCCCTAAATCAAGAGCCCCTCACCAACATCAAGGAACTTTCCTTGAGGGGTACACGGAGGGGGAACTGTGCACCTTGTGTGGGTTGAGTTTGAGTTTCCGTGTCGACTCTTGGTAATATAGAATATTGTGTGGTGGTAAAACCTATTGATTTGCCGTTGATGTGCTCTTTTCTCGTTATTGGCAGACAAGGGATCGAGCCTCCGCCACTTTCTGCGTATCACAACAGGACTATAATGTATAAATGTATATAAATTTGGCACGTATGGATACTTTCATTAAGATCCATTACCCTCCCAGGAGTATTTTTAATCCAGTTGGATCGACAGAACTCCTGGTGAGCGAAACGTTGGCTCGAAACCACACCAGGTGAGCGAAATTTATTTTAATATATGTACTTTCATACTGAATGGCCCACCAAGGGTTTAAATTGTATCGCATTTCACGACACTGTAGAGACCGAAGCAAGTCATGTAGCGATAGGCGAGGGTAGGGTTCGATCCTTCGTCTCTGACCACAACGAGGCTGAGGTACTGTAAGGGCAGAGCGTCAACAAGCTATATTAATCTGGCATCCTAGCCTTTATAGTATAAGACATTAAAAGGACCCCCCCCCCTGAAAATAAGCCACTTTGACTTTTTGGGGGGATTATCATAGGCTCTCTACACATATGCTGCTATGTATGATAATCTATGTAATTGTATTTGTGTATTACCTGAATAACACTTAGCCTAGTCTAGCCTCATCCGGCTTGAGGATTTCTAGAGTAGAACGACTGGCGGAGAGAGACTTCCGCTGCTAAACCGCAGCCTTCTTGAATTTTTTTTAAAAAGTGTAATCCCTACGGGTTTAGTGCTCCCCCACGATTTGATCTGATTTCATAGACTTATGAACAACGGTTAATGAATTAGCAGCCTCGAGTGCGATCAGTCTGGAACAGTGGCGGCGGCGGCGGCAACAAGATGGGTGACTCATGAAATCGTAATGACACGATTGCAAACAAATCATACCACGGGCGGGGATAGAACCCGCGATCAGAGAGTCTCAAAACTCCAGACCGTCGCGTTAGCCACTGGGCCAGCTAGCCACAATAAGATTCATGCCTATGCTAACCTTTCTATGGTGTAGAAATATACCTAGTTGGATGAATCTTATTGTGGCTAGCTGGTCCAGTGGCTAACGCGACGGTCTGGAGTTTTGACTCTCTAATCGCGGGTTCTATCCCCGCCCGTGGTATGGTTTAACAAGGTGGGTTACTGCAGACTCCTGCAAGTCTATAAAGGGAAAGAAATCCAGAGTGATGTTTTGTTCAGGAGTCGCTGAAGCTTCAACCCATCTTTTTGTTGTTGCTGAGGGAGAGAGGGAGCTAGGGACGGAGGGTGCATATGTTAGTGTTCAGGTATTTCAAGGGTAGACGGCAAAACGGCAATGAGAATAATTGAGATTGTATTTCAACCACCATCTGGGAGCCTCTTCAGCAGGCAGTTGAAATAGCCTCGGTTTTCATGACTCTTTCATTGTGTACATGTGGGTATTACCTTCATACATTGACAAGTGTTGATTTGTTTAGTATGAGGGAGTATGAGGGACGTAGTATGTTGGTGAGAGGGAGTATAAGGGACGTAGTATGTTCGTGAGGGGGGTATGAGGGACGTAGTCTCTTAAGTGTTGGTTTGTGAATATTTCTGGCCTCATGACTCTAGTCTCTTCCAACCCGTTCTTGTTGCTCTTAGCAATATTACTTCATCCCTCAAACTTAAAGCAGAGTGGGATTCTATCTCTGTACTTTAATGTTCTTCGCTCTGAGGTTAACGTCACCACGAACTTTAAAAAATAAGCTTCGTGACAGACATATGCAATGCCTGTTCGTAATGACACGTATAGTGCCTCTGTCACTGTAAATTTACACCTCTTCGTAAAATTAATGCGTCTTCGGGGAAGTGCAATGACATTTTTTCCCGTCTTGCAAGGCTTCTGCAACAGCTACTGACGCAGCCGGGGGTGAGTCCTGACCTGGTGATGGTGTCGGTAGACGGTCTGCAAGAAGAGACCATCCGGCTATTGGAACTTTTCGGTCTCCGCTGCTTCATCCATACTCCCGAGGGCACCGTTACCTCCGCCAGGATCTCCAGGTAAATCATAGCCTTAAAACACGGAGACAAAACATGGAGAGTCTTGTGGTATTACACTGTGAAAAATTGTTCCCGGAGTTCCAGAATTTGTATAAAAGAGTAATTTGTACATTGCATGGCATTGCACTTTATGGATGGACTTTCCGACTATTTGTTTCTTTGTTATCGTTTCTGGTGAATGTTGGATTGCTTTAAATAAGAGACCAATATCTGTAAGAGTACTCGTCAGCATATAATCACTCCCACAGACACCTGAGGTTCGCGCTTTTCAAGGCTCTAGAGACGTTTGAAGACGTGGATAAGTTCATCATCCTGGAGGAGGACCTTATCCTGGCTCCAGACTTCTACTCGTGAGTGCTTTCTTTAACTTACCCTCGGCCTGTCGAGACTAGGAGGGGAGAGTAGAGAGGGATGAAAGAGAAGGGGAGATGGGAGTAAATAAGAGAATGAGAGGGCGAAGAGAAGGGGAAGGAGTAAGAGAATGACAGGAGATAAAAGGAACAAGAATAATTTGTACCTGAGATGAGGGAGGATGGCAGGTGCCAAGAGAGGGACTGGAAGGGAAACTGAAACTAGAATTGAAAAAGTGAAAAATGAAAAGCGAAAGTGGAGATGGAAAAAAATAAGAATAGGGGGAAAGGAACAACAGCACAGGCTGCTTGACATGGAATGAGGAGACAGAATGAGGATAAGCTGACAGTGAAAAGATAACTTTTATGGGAAATTCAAAACAAAATTCCTAGCAGGGTTAAATGAGCAGGGTACAACTTCTAAGTTTTATATATTCATTGTGGGAACAAAAGCTACTTATGCTTCCCTGTCATGCTTCATCACGCAGACTGAATTGCGTACAAGAGATAATGAGGTGTCAGCGTGAGCTGGGAAGACTTCATTAGAGCAATGAGGATTTGTAGCTCACCATTATGGCTTCAGCTACGGTAGCTTCAAAGATTTCGTTACGGTAGAGCTGGAGTTATCAGTGCTTGATTAACGTAGTTCAAGATAGATTTCTCTTGTCTCTCTCTCTGTCTCTCTCTGTCTCTCTCTGTCTCTCTCTGTCTCTCTCTGTCTCTCTCTGTCTCTCTCTGTCTCTCTGCTCTCTCTCTCTCTCTCTGTCTCTCTCTGTCTCTCTCTGTCTCTCTCTGTCTCTCTCTGTCTCTCTCTGTCTCTCTCTGTCTCTCTCTGTCTCTCTCTGTCTCTCTCTCTCTCTGTCTCTGTCTCTGTCTCTCTCTGTCTCTCTCTGTCTCTGTCTCTCTGTCTCTCTCTGTCTCTCTCTCTCTGTCTCTCTGTCTCTCTCTCTCTGTCTCTGTCTCTCTCTGTCTCTCTCTGTCTCTCTGTCTCTGTCTCTATCTCTGTCTCTGTCTCTGTCTCTCTGTCTCTGTCTTTGTCTCTCTGTCTTTGTCTCTTTGTCTCTGTCTCTGTCTCTGTCTCTGTCTCTGTCTCTGTCTCTGTCTTTGTCTTTGTCTTTGTCTCTGTCTCTGTCTCTGTCTCTCTCTCTCTCTCTCTCTCTCTCTCTCTCTCTCTCTCTCACACACACACACACACACACACACACACACACACACACACACACACACACACACAGGAGCTGTGAATCGACCCATGCAACCACATATAGGCGAGTACACACTGGAAATTAAGTTGAAGAATTTAACAAAAAATAGATTGAAGACCATCAAGGAGGGTACTAGTTTTGTCATGAGTGTAGGAAGCCTGTTAAACGTTTTACACTTTGGCAAGATGGCTGGCCTTTTCTTTCATGAATATGCAAAGCTGCGGATTAATCCGTTAACTATTAACAGATAACAGACATGCATAGTAAAGTATAAGAATAAAAAGCTGGGAAAATGGGAAACACAGGATGTAAGAGGACCTTGCTGGGCGAGGTTGGTCTTGTGGTGCTGCAAAGAAAGACCTTGCTGGGCGAGGTTGGTCTTGTGGTGCTGGAAAGAAAGACCTTGCTGGGCGAGGTTGGTCTTGTGGTGCTGGAAAGAAAGACCTTGCTGGGCGAGGTTGGTCTTGTGGTGCTGGAAAGAAAGACCTTGCTGGGCGAGGTTGGTCTTGTGGTGCTGGAAAGAAAGACCTTGCTGGGCGAGGTTGGTCTTGTGGTGCTGGAAAGAAAGACCTTGCTGGGCGAGGTTGGTCTTGTGGTGCTGAAAGAAAGACCTTGCTGGGTGTTGGTTGGTCTTGTGGTGCTGGAAAGAAAGACTTGCTGGGGTGTTGGTCTTGTGGTGCTGAAAGAAAGACCTTGCTGGCGAGGTTGGTCTGTGGTGTTGAAAGAAAGACCTTGCTGGGTGTTGTTGGTCTGTGGTGCTGAAAGAAAGATCTTGCTGGGCGAGGTTGGTCTTTGTGCTGAAAGAAAGACCTTCTGGCGAGGTAGTTTGTGGTGCGAAAGAAAGACCTTGCTGGGCGAGGTTGGTCTTGTGGTGCTGCAAAGAAAGACCTTGCTGGGCGAGGTTGGTCTGTGGTGCTGGAAAAAACCTTCTGGCGAGGTTGGTCTTGTGGTGCTGGAAAGAAAGACCTTGCTGGCGGGTTGGTCTTGTGTGCTGGAAAGAAAGACCTTGCTGGGCGAGGTTGTCTTGTGGTGCTGCAAAGAAAGACCTTGCTGGGCGAGGTTGTCTGTGGTTAACCTTCGGGTGGTGGTCTGTGGTGTAAAAAAAGATCTTGCGGGCGAGGTTGGTCTTGTGGTGCTGGAAAGAAAGACCTTGCTGGCGGGTTGGTCTTGTGGTGCTGGAAAGAAAGACTTGCTGGGCGAGGTTGGTCTTGTGGTGCTGAAAGAAAGACCTTGCTGGGTGTTGTTGGTCTTGTGGTGCTGGAAAGAAAGATCTTGCTGGGCGAGGTTGGTCTTGTGGTGCTGCAAAGAAAGACCTTGCTGGGCGAGGTTGGTCTTGTGGTGTTGGAAAGAAAGACCTTGCTGGGTGTTGTTGGTCTTGTGGTGCTACAAAGAAAGATCTTGCTGGGCGAGGTTGGTCTTGTGGTGCTGGAAAGAAAGACCTTGCTGGGCGAGGTTGGTCTTGTGGTGCTGCAAAGAAAGACCTTGCTGGGCGAGGTTGGTCTTGTGGTGCTGCAAAGAAAGACCTTGCTGGGCGAGGTTGGTCTTGTGGTGCTGGAAAGAAAGACCTTGCTGGGCGAGGTTGGTCTTGTGGTGCTGGAAAGAAAGACCTTGCTGGGCGAGGTTGGTCTTGTGGTGCTGGAAAGAAAGACCTTGCTGGCGAGGTTGGTCTTGTGGTGCTGCAAAGAAAGACCTTGCTGGGCGAGGTTGGTCTTGTGGTGCTGGAAAGAAAGACCTTGCTGGGCGAGGTTGGTCTTGTGGTGCTGGAAAGAAAGACCTTGCTGGGCGAGGTTGGTCTTGTGGTGCTGGAAAGAAAGACCTTGCTGGGCGAGGTTGGTCTTGTGGTGCTGGAAAGAAAGACCTTGCTGGGTGTTGTTGGTCTTGTGGTGCTGGAAAGAAAGACCTTGCTGGGCGAGGTTGGTCTTGTGGTGCTGGAAAGAAAGACCTTGCTGGGCGAGGTTGGTCTTGTGGTGCTGGAAAGAAAGACCTTGCTTGGCGAGGTTGGTCTTGTGGTGCTGGGCGAGGTTGGTCTTGTGGTGCTGGAAAGAAAGATCTTGCTGGGCGAGGTTGGTCTTGTGGTGCTGGAAAGAAAGACCTTGCTGGGCGAGGTTGGTCTTGTGGTGCTGGAAAGAAAGACCTTGCTGGGCGAGGTTGGTCCTGTGGTGCTGGAAAGAAAGACCTTGCTGGGCGAGGTTGGTCTTGTGGTGCTGGGAAGAAAGACCTTGCTGGGCGAGGTTGGTCTTGTGGTGCTGGAAAGAAAGATCTTGCTGGGCGAGGTTGGTCTTGTGGTGCTGGAAAGAAAAGCCTTGCTGGGCGAGGTTGGTCTTTTGGTGCTGGAAAGAAAGACCTTGCTGGGCAAGGTTGGTCTTGTGGTGCTGCAAAGAAAGATCTTGCTGGGCGAGGTTGGTCTTGTGGTGCTGGAAAGAAAGATCTTGCTGGGCGAGGTTGGTCTTGTGGTGCTGGAAAGAAAGATCTTGCTGGGCGAGGTTGGTTTTGTGGTCCTGAAAAGTCCTGGACGTCATTTCTTATTCTCTTTCCACAATTAAGTCACACACTTGACACTTCATTAATGTTAAGTTAATATTCACTCTTGCACTAACATTTACTTGGTGTGCACGCGCGTGGGTCTGTGCGCTCACCTATTTTCGGTTATCACCTGTCAGATTTGGAAATAAATGGTATTAAATACCGACACAATGGAAATATAAACACATATGCAGTATAATGTGATCCTTTATTGATTACATTTCGCCCACACAGTGGGCTTTTTCCAGTCAAAAACAGATCTACCTGAGGTAGAAGGGACGCGAGTATTTATAGTCAGGTTCAGAATGCTGAGGTCGGGTGGAGAATGCTGCATCTGATGATGTACCGAGTGGGGTTAGAGTCTAAAATCTTGGGTAGCTTGGAAAGAAGATTGGATAAGTTTGTGAACAGACCTTCTACAGTGTTCTTCCATTCCTGTGTTCTTATGTGGGATAGCGATGAAGAAGTTTCTTGGCAAGTGGTTCAGCTATGTTATAGAAGCCACTATTCTGGTTGAAGTTGTCGGATATAGAAATAAGTGATGATTCCAGGATTCTTCGGTATTGAGTGTTGTCTTCTGTGGCGATAAGTCTTGAGTTTCTGTAGTTTATCAAGTGGTTGTGTGAATTATGGTGTTGTATGTACACAGGCATTCCTTGTGTCGTCAGACCTGCTTGCGTATTGGTGTTCTGAAATACGTGTTTGGAGGTCCCTTGATGTTTCGCCCACGTATAATTTGTTGCAGTCATTACAAGGGATTATGTATACCCCTGCAGAGGGTGGAAGCTTGTCCTGTCTATCACTGGTAATGTCCTTGATGGTCGTGGTTGTGGAGGTAGATACTTGGAATGAGGTATTGGAAAAGATGTTGGAAACGTGTTTGGCAATGGAGTTGGTGGGGAGGACTATGTGTCTCTTCTCGGCAGTGTCTTCTGTGGGTGTGTTGATGTTTAATGCCCGTCGTCTGCAGTCTCTGATGAAGTGACGAGGATAGTGGAGTTTAGAAAATACTTGTTCAATTTTCGCGCATTCTTCTTCAAGAAACTCATTGCTGCAGATTCTGAGTGCACGCAGGAAGAAGCCTATAATTACACCACGTTTAGTTTTGGTGTCGTGGTGAGAGTAGAAGTGGAGAAGATCGTTTTGGTTGGTGGGTTTTCGATAGACTTTAAAACGAAGTTCGTGGTCAGCTTTGCAGAGCAGAACATCGAGGAAAGGAAGAGTGTTGTCGACTTCTTCTTCAAGTGTGAACTGGATTGAAGGCTCGACCTG